GAACGACGCCATTGAGGAGATGAAGAAGAAGAGCGGGGGAAGATGAAGGAGTGAGGCCGCGTGGTTGTGCTTTTATAAAACAATTCGCGAGCTCGGGTGATTTCGCGCCAAAGAGAAAAGTTTCGCGGGTTTTCTCTCATACTCAAACGAAAACGGAGAGAGGAGGAAGATGACGATCCGTGAGAGAATGAAAGAGCCCAATGCATGCACAGTAGCCAGGCGCTGATTAGACGAGCGAATTCCACGGGTGGGCCGTGTGATGTGGGATTTTTCCTTTGCATGGGTTAGCCAAAACGGCCAGCACTAATGACGGGATTAATTTCCAAATTCAGTTTCGTTTTTGAGGGAAACCTGTGCGCGCTCTCCCCCAATCTCAACCCACCTAAATCACAGAGCTTTCTCTTAGTCGCCCTATGCACCTGGACGGAGGGAGTATCAATCTTGACCAAACATAAAAAAAAGTTTGACTTAGAACAAACATATAAGTTCGAATATTTTGAAATGGAGGGTGTACTTCCCACTTCGACTCTTCCGTTGATGTCACATTCTCCCCCTTTGTGTACCGAAAGGAAGCATCAACACCTGACTCCTCTTTCTAAAAAGAATATCAGACTCTTCTCTCATGGCGCATGGTATTTAATTGTTGTTTGGGTAAAAGAAACAATTAATTTTCATTTACAAAGAGAGCTTTATTTAGATCATAAAATAGTGTTATACAATGCTGAGGAGACCAAACTGTTCTAGTGCAGAAAACACTAGGCATGGATCCATGAAGGGAGACCACTCGAACAATATGGTACATACATGCGATAGTGGTCAAAAATTTCCTTGTACATTTTGTTCCTTCGGTGTCCCTTCTCAACACCGTTGAAGATATCTCCCGACAACCATGGACAACTGCATTTGGTGTCGTCAAGGCAAAAAAAACTTAGGGGTAGTTTGTTTCGCTTCCACAACTCATAACGCTTGGCCTGGCCACCTCTCTGAGAGTTGCCTCATTCGTGTTTGGTGCATGTCCTCAGCATGGTGGCGTCCGTCTGGCCTGGAGAATGGGACAAAGTAGTTAGCCTAGCGGGATCACGTGGCAGCGCAGTTAGCCTTGTCCAGGCGACCGATTGTGGATGCCTGGACGTGCCTGGTGCGTCAGCCTGAACATAATGTCGTGTGTTAATAGAAGGTTACAGAAAATGAGACGAGTGGGGGAGAAAATAGCGTCAACTTAGAGTCCACCAGGCCAGGGCCCCGAACCAAACACCTCTTCCTTATACTAGCCTGGTCAGGCAGAAAAGTCCATTTGCTCAGGCTCAAGCCAGGCACTGAACTTTCAGGCGTGATGCCGAGGAAGCCAACCAAACAATGCCCTTGGTCCAGTTTCAACGAGTGGCTAACTCTACCATGCCTTAGATGTCCACATATAGCACCACAGTGTCCAACACATGCATTTGAGGTGACTGACATGTTGATGGATGAGGCGAGTCTAGTCCCTTCCATCACCACTCACGCCTCTTCTACGTCTTGGTTAGTCGTCTTCGTGTTGTTCCACTAGATGTCTTGTATCTTGTGGTCATATCGCAACTCATACAAAGCCACATCTGACCCACCCTCTAGATGAAGTGATGACATGTTTCTACTTTGGCAACACTGACTATAACCCTCAATTTGAACCCTTAGAGCATCTCCACTCGCGCCCCAACAGGGCCCCCAGCACGAGTTTTTTTGCGCCGGCGCCGAAAAAAACCCAATCGCGCCCTCAGGACGCCGAAATTCGCCGGCTCGGCCCGTTTTTTGGCCCGGCGATCCCAGGCCGAACCCAGCGCACTGGGGGCGCTTGGGGGCTCCGGCGGAAGGGAAAACCGTGCCTGGGCCACCACTGTCAGGCTAAAACGCATGTTGC